TTGTTACCATGTCATCAGCGTCCAAATATTTTGGAGGGCCTCGTCATCATTGATTCATGATTCTTATTGAGTGAAATTGGAATGTTGGTTGTAAAGTAATATCACCAAAATGGCTGCCATTTACTTAGTGTTGAGATCAACACATTTCTCGAGGCGTTTGCTCAAATCACGTTTGAAATTTGAATATATATAATAATTTAGTGTTAATTATGCAAATATTAACTGGTATCGAAGATATAACATACAATAGATATAACATGGGAATTTCAGTTTTTAATATATTTTGTCAGAAATGATTACAGTCATTTATTTAGCGTTGTGCGAATTTATTACATAAAATGGGAGTCTTTCATTATATTATACATACATATATGTATAATCAATATATAATGTTACATATACACTGATGTATTCTGGATCATGGAAAAATGTAGTAAGACTCAGTGGAATCGATTCCATAAGTAGTCGGAAATCCAAAGGAGAGATGTTGAAATATCCTGTCCGCATATTTAAGATAAGCAATATCGAGCCTGGTCAGTACTTAGATGGGTGACCGCATGGGAATACCAGGTGCTGTAAACTTAGATGTGCGGTTGGTCTAAAGGATAATGTATCGGCAGTATTAATCAGAGAGCCGAGTTTCAATTCCAGATGGATTCGTTATATTCTTACACGTTAATATCATTGAGAAATGTGCGAATCCAACTCTTCTCCCCCAGCTATGGATTAATTAGTTAAATTTCTATTACTAAATCATTATTACAGATTCGTGCTTTACTCAACCCATAAACAGTTGATAAGCCGAAAAAAGGAAAAAAATCAATATCTAAAACATTTGTGTCAATAGACTGAGATATCTCGTCACTTCAACGCACGATTTGGCTTAATTTGGCTGAACATAGTAGCCACACCTTCCTTCAAGCCTCCAGAATGCTTGTCAAACGAATTTTGGGCAAAAAAACTGAACAGTGCCTTGCTTGAATAAACCAACCTAGTTGGCGTATATGGAATCCGTCAAATATCCAGACGAAACAATAAAGTTTCGCAATCACCATTCAATAGAATATTTAGGCAAATCACCTTAACTAACATTACAACATTATCGAACCAACAAGTAGCTTTAAAGATGCTTATTGGACTGCATATTTTTATGGCCTTATACAGTTTTTGCCACACCCCAAGTCTTGTAATATACTGAGAAGGCCAGGGCCAAAATGGTCAGCGATTTTCCGGAGTGCCTCGTTGGCGTGATAATCTGACAGTTACGGATTGCCTTTGGGTTTAAGTTTTAAACTACGCGAATAGAATAGAAGGCCGCAAGAATTCTGAAGTGTCAATACGCCTCATACATTCGGTTATGAGAGAAAGACTATGACTACCTATGGTGGGACTCTGTGCCAGCGTGCCTCATGAGTTCCCAGAACGTTATTTCTCACATTGACTCTTAGAATCCAAGCTGCCAAAACACTTTCTAATAAAACGAATAGGAACAATGTCGTCCTTTTCCTTGATACCATTTCATTTAGTATTGTGGAAATAATTAGATAAATAAATAAATAAAAATAAATGAAACAAATGCCAAATTTTCACCCTCTCTAAAAATATACAGTAATAAAAATCGTCAGGCAAACAAAGCCATAGTTAGACCAACCAAACAACCAACCAACCAATTAGAAAGCTTTCGCAATCGGAGGCACGAAGCTACTGAGAAGCTAAACGAAAAATCAAACAAAATGAATGTCGATATATTCTTCGATGTTGCTGTTATCGTATCTTACCTAGGGACGAAATATAGTTGCACAACTAATTTTCGACCTGAAACATCTACACTTGACTGCTATAATTGAGAAATGTATAACTACCTTCACAGTACGTCGTTATGTAGTGATTACTGCATTTAGTTACATACACATAAACACATAAACACATACACACAGACACACACAGACACACACACACACATATATATATATATATATATATATATATATATATATATATATATATATATATACTGCTTCCCGAACTCTTTCTCTGCTCCGCTGTCTCACGTATCTGCCAAGACTTTTACACTTAAAAATATTGATACATAAATTTTCACCTTATTCTTCTGTATTATAATATTGATTTATATAAATTAGTTTTCAATACATTGTGAATTTTCTTTTAATTATTACACAAGGTCAATATAAAACTCATATCAACTGTACTGATATATGATGTAACAGACTTTGTCGTAAGTTAAACATCTCAACTATAACTGATAACATCTTAACCTCGATAATGTCATGATCATTGCACTGTGGGACAAAAATGTATACAAATTCATCAAATTCAGGGCCGTCATCGGACTCTTTAGATATTTATCCAGTAGAATTATTGTAGTTCAGTTAGAATGTATTTAAGAAAGAAAGATTTTTGGTTAGCAGCAATAAACTGCTACATGAATCGTCGAAAAGCTTACAAAAGTTAATGTGATTTAGATGAACGAACGGATGAAGATATTTAGCTTACCTGAGTGTCTTCTGAGAAACTGAGTGAACGAGAAAGGTTTTAAGGACAGGGACAAAATTAGTGTGTGGAAATGAAAATAAAAATTTTTTATACACCCACACCACCAAGGGGTGAGAGTTGGTATTTTTTTCTTTTTGCGTACGACGCATAAAAAATTGCCATAAGACTGAAAATGAAGCAGAGTCAGCGGAATTTCTAAGAGTAAAAGTGATAGAAATCAAGGGAATGCATTTGGTTGGATTGGTTTTGACATACCGGCCTTCTTCGCAAGCTTCAGGGGTATGGAATTTCAGGTCGATTGTTTGATTTAATACAATAATTTCTGTCAAACCGTGTATTGAATTTCGTTCTCAAGGGATTCTCCTCCAGCTCCTATCCCACGAACGCAGGTGTTCCCCAAGGTTCTATCCTAGGCCATACTCTGTTCCTTATCTTCATTAACAATCTTCCCGATGTCATAGGTTCCCAAGTAGGAATCTATGCGTATGACACTATCATTTACTCCTGCCTCACAAACAAATCTAGTGTTGCTGACAAAACTAACCTGGCCGTTTGTCTTGAAAAGGACCGCAAATCGGTTGTGGACAGGGACAGAAAATGCCAGGTTAAATTTAGTACCTCAAAGACAATAGGGCTCTCTTACCGCAGAGAACCATCCCTGCCTCCCCTTAGAATGTCTGACGTTCAACTCCTGTGGAACACCTCTTTGCGACTGCTCGGTCTCACATTGCCGTCTGACCTGGGATGGAACAAATACATTGAGTCAATAGCTTCGTCCACCGCAAGAAATGTTGGCTCCTTGTGCCGCGCCAGGAACTTCTTCTCGCCTGAAACAATCCTTCAAATCTACAAATCAACCATTCGCCCTTGAATAGAGTATTGTTGCCATATATCGTCTGGAGACCCTTCTGTTGTTTGTTTCAAGGTCCTTGATATCATTCAGAGAAGATATGCAATGTAATTGGCTCTGATCTGGTATCGTGTCTGCAGTCGCTCTCTCACAGACGTGCCATTCCCCGCCTCTGACTTTTTTTAAAAATACTTTCATGGTTTCTGCTCAGATCAGCTGCTTTCTCTGGTTCCCAGACTTCATGAATTTAAGCGAACTAAGATTGCATATTGCTCTCACACCTTTACTGTCCAAATTGTAGCCGTCTCTTCTACTCCAATAGCTTCATGTCTCGAATTTCTCGTCTGTGGAACTCCCTCCCCATTTCTTGTTTCCATGATAGCTATAATCTCAAACTATTCAAAATTAATGTCAATCGACGTCTCCAGATGCCTTGATCTATCCACTATCCTTCTCTTCCTCCTTTCCTCTATCACTCCTCTTTGCTCTCGCTCCAACTCTCTGTAACCCTTTGCGTGCTAATGTCTTCCCGCGTTGCTTGGGGTGAAATGCTTTAAAAAAGGGCAAATTTCTAACGTTTTTGTTAGTGGTACATTGAACAAGAAAGGAATCAAGACTTAAGGCTCCAGGTATTAATTCCGATGCAGAGCGATTCTTTGGCAGAAGTTGATAAGTACATGCTCTTCAGTCAGGTTCATTTTTTCTAGACCAGTTACCAAAATCAATCTATCAGTGGAAGCTTGTATAAAGTCAGGAAGAACGCATTAAAATATAATTAAAAAAATATATTCATGTATGTGGAATATTGTTCCAAGAAATACACTATTTTCTGTTCTATATACTTCAGACTTATATATATTTTGAAAATCATGCTGTATTTCGGTTGGTTACATAATAAAATAAGACACCGCCCCAAAAATTAGTAACATTATTATTGCTATATGGGCATGCATGAGAATCTTGGCGTGGTGTAATTATTGTCAAGCGTGTCTCGCTAGAAAAATTACGAGCGAGTAGTGATTTCGGACCTCAATGGGTGCCCCTTAATTTCGGTCTTTTTCTGCATCTAAGTTACGCTTAGAAAATCACTATATCATCAGGTATTATGAACAGAAGCGAATAAAATCCTTTATTTCTACTACATAACGAAATCTTGCATTTTTTGTTGTGGAAGAAATGATAAATTAATAGCCGTTTCCTTCCAAGCAAATATTTGGTATTTATTGATTGTGCATCCAGTACCGCTTATAGTTAAAATTTATAAAACATTTCACTTAAAACAAATTTCAGAAAACATTAGCTGTTATCGATCTTTCCAGTATTGATGTACATTTCTTCCTATCCTTTGAAGTTGTGTACATTTCTTCATATCATTGATGTACATTTCTTCCTATTCTTTGAAGTTGTGTACATTTCTTCATATCATTGATGTACATTTCTTCCTATCCTTTGAAGTTGTGTACATTTCTTCATATCATTGATGTACATTTCTTCCTATCCTTTGAAGTTATGTACATTTCTTCCTATCATTGATGTACATTTCTTCCTATCCTTTGAAGTTATGTACATTTCTTCATATCATTGATGTACATTTCTTCCTATCCTTTGAAGTTATGTACATTTCTTCATATCATTGATGTACATTTCTTCCTATCCTTTGAAGTTATGTACATTTTTCTTCATATCATTGATGTACATTTCTTCCTATCCTTTGAAGTTATGTACATTTCTTCATATCATTGATGTACATTTCTTCCTATCCTTTGAAGTTATGTACATTTTTCATATTACATTTCTTCCTATCCTTTTGATGTACATTTCTTCCTATCCTTTCATTGATGATTTCTTCCTATCCTTTGTTATGTACATTTCTTCCTATCATTGATGTACATTTCTTCCTATCCTTTGAAGTTATGTACATTTCTTCCTATCATTGATGTACATTTCTTCCTATTCTTTGAAGTTATGTACATTTCTTCATATCATTGATGTACATTTCTTCCTATCCTATCCTTTGAAGTTATGTACATTTCTTTTCTTCCTATCTTTGATGTACATTTCTTCATCCTTTGATGTACATTTCTTCCTATCCATTTTTGAAGTTATGTACATTTCTTCCTATCTTTGATGTACATTTTTCTTCCTTTATCCTTTGAATCCTTTTGTGTACATTTCTTCTATCTATCATTGATGTACATTTCTTCCTATCCTTTGAAGTTATGTACATTTCTTCATATCATTGATGTACATTTCTTCCTATTCTTTGACAGTTATGTACATTTCTTCCTATCTTTGATGTACATTTTCTTCCTATCCTTTGAAGTTATGTACATTTCTTCATATCATTGATGTACATTTCTTCCTATCCTTTGAAGTTATGTACATTTCTTCCATTTCTTTTGATGTACATTTCTTCCTATCCTTTAGTTGTTACATTTCTTCCATCATTTTTTCTTTATCCAGTTTCATTTCCTATCATTGATGTACATTTCTTCCTATCCTTTGAAGTTATGTACATTTCTTCCTATCTTTGATGTACATTTCTTCCTATCCTTTGAAGTTATGTACATTTCTTCATATCATTGATGTACATTTCTTCCTATCCTTTGAAGTTGTGTACATTTCTTCCTATCATTGATGTACATTTCTTCCTATCCTTTGAAGTTATGTACATTTCTTCCTATCATTGATGTACATTTCTTCCTATCCTTTGAAGTTATATACATTTCTTCATATCATTGATGTACATTTCTTCCTATCCTTTGTACATTTCTTGTATCATTTTACATTTCTTCCTATCCTTTGTGATGTACATTTCTTCCTATCATTGATGTATTTCTTCCTATCCTTTGAAGTTGTGTACATTTCTTCCTATCATTGATGTACATTTCATTTCCATTTATCCTTTGAAGTTATGTACATTTCTTCATATCATTGATGTACATTTCTTCCTATCCTTTGAAGTTAGTTATGTACATTTCTTCATATCATTGATGTACATTTCTTCCTATCCTTTGAAGTTATGTACATTTCTTCCTATCTTTGATGTACATTTCTTCCTATCCTTTGAAGTTGTGTACATTTCTTCCTATCATTGATGTACATTTCTTCCTATCCTTTGAAGTTATGTACATTTCTTCATATCATTGATGTACATTTCTTCCTATCCTTTGAAGTTATGTACATTTCTTCATATCATTGATGTACATTTCTTCCTATCCTTTGAAGTTATGTACATTTCTTTTCATTGATTATATCATTGATGTATCATTTCATTTCTTCCTATCCTTTGAAGTTATGTACATTTCTTCATATCATTGATGTACATTTCTTCCTTTATTCTTTGAAGTTATGTACATTTCTTCCTATCTTTGATGTACATTTCTTCCCTATCCTTTGAAGTACATTTCTTTATCATTGATGTACATTTCTTCCTATCATTGATGTACATTTCTTCCTATCCTTTGAAGTTATGTACATTTCTTCTTCATTTCTTCATTGAGTTGTACATTTCTTCCTATCCTTTGAATTTCTTGTACATTTCTTCCTATCATTGATGTACATTTCTTCCTATCCTTTGAAGTTATGTACATTTCTTCATATCATTGATGTACATTTCTTCCTATTCTTTGAAGTTATGTACATTTCTTCCTATCTTTGATGTACATTTCTTCCTATCCTATCCATTTTTGAATCTTTGTGTACATTTTTCTTCCATTTATCTATTTGATGTACATTTCTTCCTATCCTTTGAAGTTGTGTACATTTCTTCATATCATTGATGTACATTTCTTCCTATCCTTTGAAGTTATGTACATTTCTTCATATCATTGATGTACATTTCTTCCTATCCTTTGAAGTTATGTATCATTTTCATTTCCTATATCATTGATGTACATTTCTTCCTATCCTTTGAAGTTATGTACATTTCTTCATATCATTGATACATTTCTTCCATTTCTTCCTATCCTTTGAAGTTATGTACATTTCTTCATATCATTGATGTACATTTCTTCCTATCCTTTGAAGTTATGTACATTTCTTCATATCATTGATGTACATTTCTTCCTATCCTTTGAAGTTATGTACATTTCTTCATATCATTGATGTACATTTCTTCCTATTCTTTGAAGTTATGTACATTTCTTCCTATCTTTGATGTACATTTCTTCCTATCCTTTGAAGTTGTGTACATTTCTTCCTATCATTGATGTACATTTCTTCCTATCCTTTGAAGTTATGTACATTTCTTCATATCATTGATGTACATTTCTTCCTATCCTTTGAAGTTATGTACATTTCTTCATATCATTGATGTACATTTCTTCCTATCCTTTGAAGTACATTTCTTGTACATTTTCTTCATATCATTGATGTACATTTTTCTTCCTATTTCCTTTGAAGTTATGTACATTTCTTCCTATCTTTGATGTACATTTCTTCCTATCCTTTGAAGTTGTGTACATTTCTTCCTATCATTGATGTACATTTCTTCCTATCCTTTGAAGTTATGTACATTTCTTTTATGTACATTTCTTCCTATCATTGATGTACATTTCTTCCTATCCTTTGAAGTTGTTTACATTTCTTCATATCATTGATGTACATTTCTTCCTATCCTTTGAAGTTATGTACATTTCTTCCTATCATTGATGTACATTTCTTCCTATTCTTTGAAGTTATGTACATTTCTTTTCTTCCTATTCTTTGAAGTTATGTACATTTCTTCCTATCTTTGATGTACATTTCTTCCTATCCTTTGAAGTTGTGTACATTTCTTCCTATCATTGATGTACATTTCTTCCTATCCTTTGAAGTTGTGTACATTTCTTCATATCATTGATGTACATTTCTTCCTATCCTTTGATGTTGTGTGGAAAGATAATCCCTTGATTAAAACGCTATATTCTTTTCGAGTTACATGCAAAATCCATTTTAGTTGATTGCTGCCAATTAAATTGGTTTTCCTCAATTGATGTGATTTGATTTGTGTTATTTTGTAAAGTTCTTTGTGAATGCGTAGCGCCAGTCGACAATATACAATGATGACATGCATAATAAAATCTGACAGTATGCGTCATTGAAATATTTCTTTTAATAATGTATATATATTACAGTATGTCCTTTTATTATATCATATGTGTTAATTACTTTGAAAATCATTAAATCATGAGCTGTCTTTCGAAGAATGAGTTGATTTTACCCAACACGTTTATTTTACTCAACACTTAACCAGTGTTTTTCTTTTATTAATCCACGGTTTCTACATTAACAATATTTACCACGGAAATAAAATCAGTATATACATGCGTGCGTGTGCATTCGTGGTGTACATTGGATCATGAGAAATACATAATTCTGGGAGAATTAAATCAAATTTGTTCTGTATTATAATCCTACCTAATGTGAATATTTTTTAGGAAATGTATTCACAGATCAGCTGTCATATTGGTTCGGTAATTAACGTGGCTTGTTATTTTTCAACTGACTATGAAACTAAAACAGAAATCGACCTTTTCGAATAAATCTAGATAGGCGAACCTAAATTCGTAATACACCCTCTGAACCCTCGAGCTCACAAAGCATTGAAATGAAACGTTGAAATGTATTTTATGATCTTCACACGAAAAGAAAGTAATTAGATCTTTTCAATATTCGATTTTTTTCCAAAAAGGTTAATTGATACGAAATATAGCGATAAATACGCACGTTGATTCCAAGAAATTTGTCATGTTGAATTTTCGAGATTAACGGGAAACATCTGATGGATCCCAATTCCTAAGTAACGCTAGACGAGTAGACTTGAATTCTCTGTTAGCAGAGTTATTGTTCGGGCTTTCGACAATCATCAGTAATCATCATATTCATTAAAACATCAAAGGAGCGATACATTTCTGAATACGTTAAGTAAAAGTAACCCACCTGAAGAAATTTAACTCACCTGAGAGAAAATTAAATTACCTGAGAGAAAAGAAAATCAACTGAAAGAAAAGTAACACACCATTAACAGGATTGCAAATCTTTTTGTTTTCTGAATCTGTCAAGGTTTAAAACTTTTAGAAAAACTTTTACTGAACATGTTACTGCCAGGTGTCAAATGGCTACGCTTAAAGAGGATTTAAACTGTAATGAAAAAAACATCTTATATCTGATATTATTTACTAGAGATACCTGCTATATTGACATTTGTTTATGTCATTTCAAAACAGTAAAATTTTTAAAAACACACGCACACAAATTCATTACTTCCCTTGGTCGTCTAATGATCTATACAAATAAAATATTTATCTGAATTACTTCCCGATCAAAACGAACAGTTTAGTTATTCAGTTCCTTGCCACTTGTATTTCTTTGATTTCAGCCGTATTTGTTCAAGTCTTTTATGTGAGGCACTCAATACACTGTATCAATACTTTATCTCAGTGATTTTCACCGTGAACAATGCCCGGAGCCGCTCGAATTACAGAGCATCAGGGACATTTTATATCTGTAGGGATGACAACGTTTGGTTAACCATAGAATTGAACAGGTGAAGATTTTACTGATCGGGAAAGCATCATCTTGGGAGACAGTTCCACAAAGCAGCAGTTCGTGGGAAGAAGCTACTCGAGGGGAACTTACATCTCATCAATGGAATAGAAAGGAAATGAAGAAGGTTCGCTACAAAGATCGTAGTATGTAGCATCTCAACAGTGAATGCTAGATTGAGAGAATGAGTGAGAGAGAACGTGTGTGTGTGTGTGTGTGTGCGCGCGCGCGCGCGTGTGTGTGTGTTTGGTTTCTTTGTTTTGTTTTACGGCATATCAACCTCAATGGCTTATTTAATGCCGACAAAATTGTTATTGCTGGTAATATGTTTTTCTTCAAGAATCTGTTTCTGGGAATATTCTTCCTCGAAGAAATCTATAGCTGGTCATATTGTTTCCCAAAGAATGTATAAATGTTTGTATTGCTGGTATTTTTTTTAAATATTGCTGGTAATAATATTTCCTTCAAAAATTATTGCTGGCAATATTTTATTTATTACAAATTATTTCTGGTATTAAAACCTATTTTTACACAAGATTGGGTGTTAACTATTTGCCCATAGCTGGGGCTCTAACAGATGGTACCACCCCAGGTCCGGGTTAACCTGGGAATACAAGCAATTAAGAGGTGGTTCCACGCTCTTCAAAATCTCCTGATCAGAGGACTTGCTGTTGGATGTAGTTTATAATCTCACCCAGGACGCGGATGTAGTTTATCGATATACCAGGGACGAGCGCGCGTGCGCGTGTGTGTGTGTCTCTGTGTATGTGTATGTCTTCAGATAGTATTCAACAATGCAGTTTGGTTGTCAGATTCACACCTCATCGATCTTTAGACAAGGTTCACATTTTTGGAAATATTGCTTCAAAAGATCAATGAAAGGTCTGATATATTTAACGCCCAGGTAAACGTGGCTACATTACTGAAAACTATTCTGGAAAAAATGTTAAAAATATTTCTTGTAAAAGCACCCGCTTCTCATAGAGGTCATCGTTAAACAAAGGTTTAATTCGAATTTGGCAGTTGTGAAAGGCAATTAATTTGTCATGGCACCTATTTTTCCATATGTATGTGCATACACCCTTGTGCAAATTAAATGACAGAAATACGAATAATTCTGTTATTATTTACTTTTTCTTCGTACTTTTAAAATGAAACATTACCCAGTGCTCATGTTAGTACTTCGTATGTACATTCCTCTACGTCTTTCAATACAGATTGCCCACATATTCTCGATTGGATTTAAATCATGACAGTTTCCGGTCCAGTCTATGGTACTATAATTTTCTCAATGGTAAGACTTGCCAGTTTCTTTGTGCAGCATTATAATTTTAGTAAGCCTTCTTGGGGTAATGTCCATCACCGACAATGGTCATAGGACAACTAATCGACAGTCCAGACAGTAGTGTCTAGATGTGATAAAAATCATCATACACTCTCAAAATAGATTCATATTACTACACACAACTGCAAATGACCTAATCTGAGAAAGAAAGAGAAATTGATTATACCATGTCATTCTAGTCAATCTAAAACTGACCGTATGTTGAACGAAGAAAACTAAAGCGATTGTTTCAATTAATTTGTACAAGAGCGTAAATATGAAAGATTTAAAACTCTTTGAAAATCTAACAGAATAGTAAATTTAAAAGACAATCTGAAAAATTCTTCATTTGATAACTTTCGCTGATAAAATAGTGTCACCTGAAGAAGAAATTTATGTCAATATATATTTACACTGGCGAGACGGCGAGACAGATTCATGATTCATGTTAATCATATAAATGCTGAGTTATTTTTACTTTAACTTCATCGTATCTGAAACTGGATTTGACTAATTTAAAATGTTATTTATATATTCATTTATTTTATGTTTTGTACTATCCAGAATTGAGTAAACATCAATTTAGCAATAACAGGTGATAAATGAAGTAACCTGGTCATATATAAAATGCATTGATTTTGTCAGTCACGACACTTTCAACGGATCCTCGTCTGAATGAATTATGTCCATGTTTTTCTAATGTAG